GGGTGCGCACTAGATGAGGGCAACGTATTTCACTGGGCGTTTCGGTGCGCACGGAAACGGAGCGCGCTGTTTCAGTGAAAAGTTGAGTGCCGAGTTTTTGCACGTTAGTGCATAAATTCGACACGAGCTCTAAGAGACGGTGTCGGTTGAGTGCAAGATGGCAGCATGCGATATTTTTAATGCTCTTCAATTGCTAGATTTGCTATCTTCTTCATCATCTAGCAGTGATAAAGATAAAATAACAAAAGAAAATCCACAAAAAATTCCAAAAATCGAAAATTTTATTAATGTTGTATATAATCTTACGGATAAGGACGTAAGTCGTGATTATATATTTATTATTTATTAATAATTTAATTGTTGCTGTACAGGTATTGTTTATTGTACTGTATTGGTATTGTATTATGTGAAAAAATATATACATGTGTTGTATATAAGTGCTACAAATAATTATATATTATTGTTACAGTTCAAAAGTCATTTTCGTGTTGCAAGAGCAACAGCTTATAAAATAATTGATATTTGCGCAATTTCACAATTCTATTCGTCTGATAGAACTCACGGAGGTAGTAAATCTACCGCTGCTAAATTGGACATATTATCATTTTTGACACATTATCAATTTATTGAATAAGTCTATTTCACTTGATTGAAGTTTTAATGACAGCATGTCATTATTGACTTTAAAGCAAATGTTTAATTTCTCTGATTGTTCCATCATTTTTCGTAAATCCAGAAATATTGCACTTTTTGGCACTTGACACATGTAGTTTATTGTTTAGCTGGGAGTGCAAGAAACTCGCACTTTCGGCAACCTCGTACAGTGCTGCTGCTACTGAACAAGTTTTCGGTGCGCACTCAGTGCGACTCAGTGAAAAACGCTATAAATAATCGGTGTAAACTAAGCCATAGGCTGTGTTCCGAAATTCACTGCCAGTACTAAAAATCTATAATTTACGTTACGTATATTGCAGATTTTCAGTACTGGCAGTGAATTTCGGAACGCAGCCATAGTCGATGATTCTGTGGCTAATATGTTTGTAGTTTAACCTAAAACAGATTGAAGAATTGTGAATTTACGCTATTTACAATATGTAAAATTATTGTAAAATATATTTTTTATTTTTTAAATTTTATTGAAAATTAATATTTTTAATACATATAGGAAATTATTATAGTTAATATTTTTAACTTTTGCAAGTTCAAATTGACTGTTTCAATTTATTATGGCCTAGTTTACACTGATTGTTTAGTACGCGTACCAAGTACTAAATCAGCTTTTTTGATTGGTGTAGATTTTACACTAAACGATTTATACCTATCGGAGAAGCAGATTTAGTATTTGGTACGCGTACTAAACTAAGTTTATATAAAACATAAAATTAAATACACATTGTTTGGTTGTATCAATATTATCATAATGAAATACCATTTAATAATCGCAATATCTACATTATTATCGAAATTAATATAACTCTCGAAAATAATGTTATTAAGTTTATTTTATAACATATTTGAATTTAACGCTCCATATGACGTCACCTTGTTAAAGTTTCTGATTGGTTGCCTAATGTTAACCTGCGTAAGAGCATACCTTTGTATTTGTATTATGGTACGTACTAAATATTTAGTACGATTTTGGTACAAATATAATACCAGATACGCATATCAAGTTCACGGTCAGTGATGCATGATTGAGCATCTTGCATCATGCGCGATATGAGGGGAAGAGCCCCCACCATGGCGGCACCATACAAGCAAGCATCGCTGACGTCAACGCGTCCGTGTGCGCTTGCCGTTCCAACAGCGTACGACTCATATTATTTTTTAATAATTATTTTGTTATTTTAATTAAACTTTTTTCAATCAAATTTTGATCAGTTTTATTTATACATTTTATGTGTATTTTATGTATGTTTATTTCGAATTTGTACCTTGAATAATGTATCAGTTACTTTTCATGTTGCTAATGGTAGTTTTCTACCAAGAGACACAAGCGACACAAAAGTATTATTCTCTCTGATGCTCATTGAATATCGAACAAAGACAGAGTGATACTTGTGTCGATTTGTGTCAACTTATGTCCTTTGCTGGAAAACATACCTCATATTAAAAATTTAGATAATTATTAAAATATAAACATATTGGAGTTTCTTTTTTGGAACTTGGCCAGACCTTATCATTTATGAATTTTTATGCTATTTTAAATATAAATAAAGATTAAACTTTATATAACTTACCGTTCACCAAATTTTGTCGATTTCTGATTTGTGATACTGACAAACAAATGTTTACTTTTTTTGTTTAATGTATCGCATGCCACACTATTAAATTGTCTGCATACCATAGTAAGCTGATATAAAGTATATACATCACAGAAATTGAAAATTATTTCTAATATCTCGTTCGGAAAAATACACGGATCAGACATATTTATCTTCTTGATTGAACGTTACCACGTGAGAATATAGATATTATAAGCGGTTTGTTCACTTCACCGAACGTTATACATTTTTATTTTTAAGGTAGAATATCTTCAGCTTAAGATCTGCTATTCGGCACAAACTCTCTAGATCCTATAGACTACCACGTTAAAATTCCTTAAATAATTCTGTTCGACTTTTTAACAAACCGGTAAACTTCAGCAACAGTCTTCACTGCTCCCGCCGGGGAAACTGCCACACATAGAACTCTTTACCAAAATCCACTAAAATATAACTACGGTAGTTTTCCACCAAGAGACACAAGCGACACAAAATGACACTGTGGGCTTGTTCGTTTTAGCTGTACTGGGGCAGCTCTGGGTCTGCTCTAAACAAGATAATACAGGACAAACTATTTATCTGTCCTGTATTATCCTGTGTAGAGCAGAACCAGAGCAGCCCCAGTGTAGCTAAAACGAACAAGCCCAGTGTTCGACACAATGTTTTCCTACAACGACACAGCTCGACACAAATATACACAGCTAAAGAGGTGAGTCGAGGCTTTGACTATAGAAACATGGACTGCTAGTGTTTCCCCCCTTTTCCCATTGAAGCAATGTTAAACAGATGTAATGGACATCTCTAACGATATTAACTCCGCCTTTTGCCCAAAAAGCGGGAAATTCAAATGTAAAATATCTGAGAATAAGTAAAGGTTAAATATAAAACAATATCATTATTATTACAGACTTAATAATTTTATTATAAAGAAAGAAATAATGTTATAACGTTATTATAAAAATAAAATAAACGTAAATGCATCGTAACGTTATAATATAAAATAATAAAATAATAAAATAATAAAGATGTGTTTACCTTGTTGGTGTTAAGTTATTTTTAGATTTGTTCATTCTTTTTGGATCAAGATTTTGACTACTTGGAGACATTTCTGTCGTTATTTCTCTAGCTTCGATATATTCCGATTCAATTAGGCATTGATCATCATTGATCACATCTGTACTTAGCAATGGAATTTCTGGCGTTGCTGGTAATATTTCTATTCTGTAATTTACAATAATTATACTAATAGATTTACTAAATAATAGATGTTATAAATGTTTACTGTAATTGTAATTATATTAATTGTATTACGTTTGTTCTTGGGCACGTGGAAAAATAGATGGAATAGAATTTGATTTTAATCGAAATTGTTCATAACCGAAACGTTCTATACACTTTGATGTAAAGTGTAAAATGTAGATGCGACTACTTTTCGGTACATTTCGTGCACTTTCTTGTTTATTTAAAGTTACTAATGCTTTGATCCACTTCTCCTTAAGACTTGGATTGCTCGGAAATCTATTATTCATATGTATGTAATTATTCTCTCGAATTATATAAACATCACGTTATTTTATTAAGATATTTAATATGTTTATTATAATATGCGACAAGACAAAATAAAAATACTAAAATAGTATGTAAATGAATAATAATAACTTAAATTATTAATACTTTGACATTAAAAAGTTAAAATTTCAGTGAGATTGATACTGATTTCTTCATTGATTTAAGCAGATAAATATTTTTACTTCGTAAACTACACATTTAGAAAGTATTCTAGTATTATACAAATTAGAATCACACAAACTATAATATACCCAAAAAATCGCAAACTGGTATCATTATCGTCATGTTGACGTTTATATTTTGAACTATTGCACCTTTCCACAAAACAATAACGACCCATTTTTTAATTGTATAAAATAAATAAACTGATGAG